TCCTTAGGTCCTCATCATCCTCTTTCGCTCTCAACGGGTCTGGATCCTTTGTACTGTATGGTATCAAGGGAGTGTGCAAGAGTTTGCCTGCCACTGCTGCTGTGTGTTTATGCGTCTGTTTTGTTTGACGCCCACCGCCCCACCAGGCCCATCAAATCCATCAAATGCATCAAATGNNGGCAGTTTCGGGCAAGTGACGGTTCTACCTGTCTTTGCTTGCTGACCTTGAAGTTCGTGATGTCATTGTTGATCTTGAAAGATGCAATCGTGCCTGCGGTACGACCGTGTATGCTAGCTCACAAAGATGTCAACATGAAACATCGAAGGTGTTTCGCTAACTGTCAGGTCTCCGAATAGTCGTGGCCATTTCGGCTAGGAGGCCTCCTAACGTGAAGCTTTTTTGAAGAGCCCACCCGTCCCACCCTGGAGATCCCTGGAGATTGGCTAGCGAAGACGCTAGAGACCTTCTCCGGGCTAACAGGGATCCGGTCCACACAGTGCAGTTCTGCAGTGCGTCTCTCTCTCACTAGCCCTAGTAACCGGAGGGGTTCTTGGGGAGGTGGCGGGATCATCCTTGAAGCTAGTGTACGTCCTTGTTCGAATCTGTAGCGGGTCTTCAGGATAGTCTTCCCACTTTCCCACTGCAGTGGATCGTTGAGTTAGCATCACTTCGTTTGAGGCTCCAATCGGAGAGGTGTCGGAAAGATGCCATTGCGAGCGCAAGAGCAACAGAAACAGCCCGAGTTGAGGATGTTGCATGACTTTTTGGATTTGCCCCGAGTCGTCTGGAAGCTCCGTGCTCAAGCAGGAAGCTCGTTCCTTGCACAAACTATTAACAAGCGTGAGAAGCAAGTGTTTTGAAGTTGAGCGGGGTGTGTGGCAGAACGGTTGTCCCAAACCGTTTCGCTCCAGGATTTGCTGGCATCACGTCATTCGCTGCGGCTCTGGGGGCCAGCATTGCACTGGGAGTTCCGCCTCTCGTCCGTCAGTACCCACCTAAATGTCGGTAGTGATGACAGTCCGTTGTCGCTGCTTCTCCAGCCAGGTTTTCACCACAGCTCTGGGCTATGCAGAATATGGCCGCTGCACAATCTGCGGCAGTTCAGGCTGGCAGCAGGGTCCCTGAAGGTACCTTACATGGCCTGTAGTACTGTGCTGGAGTCCATGTTCCTTGCATGCACTTTTAAGTCTGCTACCCCTGGGCTCTGCGTCTATCAACGTTGACCGTTGACAATGGTGGTTGAACTGCTCCCTGCTCGCTTGAGGTCCTGCTTTGGTTCAAGATGTGCAACATGATGTAGCATGATATAGCTCTAGGAGTTTAGTCTAAAACGGCACAACTGCAAGTGTTCACATGCAGCTCATACTAAATTGCAGATGGCCATGCCGGATGACAATGAGCAGTGTATCCTACATCAATTTTGCATATCCCATTCTTCTGTGGCAGCGCTCACGGATTGACTTCTTTTAGCGGCAATGCTTCTGCCACGTCATAAAACTTACGCTCCACCAGAGTGGACGTGTCCTAATTGCCGGCGAGGCTTGCAAACCCTGGATTGCTGGTGCGGGAAAGCACTCACAGACGAGCCTACTCCACCGCTCTTCCAAGACCTATTCAAGAGCCAAAAGCATTACGACCAGATCTTGCGGCAAGAGCCCTTCGCCGAGATGCGGCTGAGATTGTTGAGCAAGGGACAGCGGCAATTAAAATCTCAGGGAGACTATTTGTTGAGCCACATGGGTTTGAACAAGCATCAGGTTCAGACTTGGAAGGACGCAGACACCGAACGCAGACGGAGACTCTTGCGGACAGCATCACTGCCCAGTGAGGACACACGGAGTACTTCGTCTTGTGGGACACTGTCGTCTGAGAGGCCCTCGACATCGTATTCTTTTCTTGAGCGACGTGTGCCACAAGATCCAGTTCAGGCAATTATGATGAAAGGTCCACCATCATTCTCTCCTTCCATGGCTGGCCTTGCATCTGCGGCTTTAATTTAAAGTTTTGAATCTGTTTCGATCTGTTTCGAGTGTTTCACACCCCGTCGGCCTTTCAACATTGAAATGGCCAGTCGCTTCGTCGCATGAGCTGCATCCAAAGGATGCAAAACGAGCCTATGTTTGCGTGAAGCTGTGAAGAAGCACAGCAAACTGTAACAGCTTCTTGTCTCGTGATGGTCAGGCTACAGCCCGCATGGTTACGGGCCACGAGGCGAATGCGATGGCACAAGTCACACCAGAGCCTCGGCCACATATCGTGATCGCCACAGTCCGATGCTAATATTAGCTCGAACCTTGCCTGTCGGAGCCAAGGTCAAGTCAAGAAGGCGCCGCGTGCGTGGCGGTGGCCGAGCATCCCCAAAGGAGCACCTCCACACTTAGGCTGAGACTCCAAACCTTAGGCTGTGTGCTGGGCCGTGCGTTTCTTGCAGGAAGCGTCGTCTGTCAGCTCCAACTCCATCACACCCGAGTCTTTGTCGCAACTCATGCACCTCTCGTTTGAGGCGGAACAATATATGTAGCTCCATGGCGTGCAGGAGAAGTTGGAAAGGCCAGCTGGAAGGAAGACGACCCAGAGCAAGACATCTTCGAAGGATTGCCGACGAGTCAGTGTTCCGATATGGGAGTCTTGAGAGCCAGTGGAACTAGTCAATCCGCCGTGTATCCCAGCGTGTGCAGCATGCTGTTCTGGTTTCGGTTCCATCTGCAGATCTGGTTGGACAGTCCATCCCAGTTGTGGAGTTTGATGTTCACGTTTTGATAGGCGATGCGAAGCGCTACAACAGATGCCACCGTTGCATCTTCCTCAAATGTTGCGGGCTTGGGCTGCCTTTTCCACGGTACATGTCCGCTGGTAGATGGTGTAGTATTGCGAAGGTGCCGCTACCTGTTGGCTGCGTCCAGGCGAACAGCTTCCATCTTTTCATGCAAGTGGTCTCCGTCTTTGTATTGCGGTTCGAGGTATTCCAAAACGATTCAGAATCGGTGCCTTCCTTGAGCCAGCGTCTGGAGGCAGCTGCATCCCAAACTTGACATGTCTGTAAGAAGCTGCGGGCTTGCCTAGTTTGTCTCAGGCGTTCCACGCACAGCGAACAAAGCAAGGGGAGGCCGCAAAATTTCTCACGACTGAAGACACCTTGAGTCTTTGAGCGCATAGTTTCAACGTCGAAGCTTGCAGGTGGCGGCTGCGTTGGCAAGCTGCTGGGTTGGACTTTGTCATGCTTTTTACCTAACAGTATGGGATTCCTGTGTCAGGAGGGAATTGATTGAGGTGGTCGCGTGGCGCGTACGCAAAAATGGCTCACCGCGTCCTGTTGCTTAAATGCTGAAAATCTGATTGCCGCGCCGCATTGTTTAATTGTTTACGCAGGATATGTCGGACGGCCGTCTCCTGCTGTGGTGCGGTGCGTGCTACGCAGGCCCTGGGGCCAGGATTCAATGAATATACGACATGGACCGCTGTTGGCTCTCGAATACCTTGAATGGCAGCACTGCCTGGGGGAAAGGATTCGGGGTGTCTCTCTGCATCCCACAAGCCAAGGACGGGAAGCATGCGCCTCGTGTTGTCTGGGGGAAAGTAGTTTCGCGTTCTGCGAGTGCTTGGCCAAAAAAGCATCTGAATCTTGCCAGTATTTGGGGAAGACATTCCTGGCGAATGAGCCAACACTGGGGCCAAAACATCTTCGTCTCGCTGCTGGTCTGCTGGGGTCTCCTGGTGGTCTCCCCGTGGCCTCTTGGTGGTCTCCTGGTCGTCTCCTAGTCGTCTCTTTGTGCTCTCTTGGTGTGTCCTGTCTGCGGGTGGTTTCTTGGTGTCCTGCTGGTGGTCTGCTGATCTCTTGGTGGTCTCCTGACGTCGTGGTGGTCTCTTGGATTTGCTCTGGTGGTCTCCTGGTGGTGTCTTGGTGGTCTCCTGGTCGTTGCCGGTGGACGAAAGAATTACTTCTGTGAGACTTGTGTGAGCGAGAGTGTGAGCGGAAGTGTGAGGTTGAGTGTGAGCAGGGATTCTGGTGTGAGCGCAAGGGTGAGGTGAAGTGCAATAGGCAGTGTGAGGTTGAGTGTGAGCGGGGATTCTGAGTGTGAGCGGAAGTATGAGGTTGAGTGTGAGAGGCAGTGTGAGGTTGAGTGTGAGAGAGGGAGCGCGAGCGGGCGCTGGGTCGCGGGGGCGGGTCTCGCTCACACCCTGGGATCCGTCTCACTCTCCCGCTCACACTTTTGTGCGTATTTTGTAGCAACAAATCGTGAGTGGGAGTCTGAGCGGGACCCCAGGGTGTGAGCGGGAGTGTGAGCGGGATCCCAGAGTGTGTGCGAGACTGTGAGCGGGACTGACGCACTCCCGCGCACGCTTCTGCTCAGACTTCTGCTCACACTTCCGCTCACTTTTCTCACACTTCACGTTGGGTTGTTTTTTCATGCTCACACTTTCGCTCACACTCAAGCATACACTCTAACTCAATCAGCCGGCGGTCGCGACTTCCTGGTCCTGATAGCATGCTTCAGGTACTGTCCGTCAGTGTTTGGGGATCTCCGGTGGAATCATTCGGTGAGCGCATCTGGAATCTGCCTCCCGTGGACGAGCTCAGGCTGCGATACCTCTTCGTCATCCAGTGAGGAGGATCTCAGCAGCTTCCTGCCTTTCATGATCTAGGATTCCGTGTCACAATGTTGAGCTGACCCTTTGCAGTTCTTCAGCTGCAATCCCATCATATCCCATCTGAGGCGGCGAGTGCAATCGCGTCTATGCAGAGCTTCATGTGCCGCGGCTTAGTGCCTTGTGTCGGGCACATGCCCCATGCCTTCACGAGATATGTGTGCAAGGAGTGCAAAGTTCTGAGGCACGCATTCATCGACAGTGCATGCATCTGCGAGCAACTGGCAGACAGGCGTGCTTTGGCCGTGTCCTCACCGAATCCGCACCTGCTTGCCTTGCCCAGGCATGAATCTGGAACCGTTTCTTCAAGCCTTCTTTGCTGCAACTGCCAGCTTGTGCAATTTGTCATTCTGAGGGTTATTTTTGTGGGCAAATTTCAGTGGACCAGGCTTCTTCTGCAAACCGCCACATTGTTTGCAAAAAGATCATGCATAATTGATGCAAGTGCAACGGCGGCAACGGTACGAAGCCTCGATCGGTTCGACTGAGCGGGAGAGGGCAAGGTATGCGGTCCTGGGGACATGAGCGCTGGCCTTGCGCCTGTGGGCGGAGCTTCTTCGAGCATTTCGGTGCAGCGGAGTGAAGTGAAGATAGACGAGACATGGTAACGTACTGCCGTTGCCTACGAAATGATATGGAGGTTCGTTGCATATCATGGCCATAAAGATGATTTGGGAGAATTGTTTCAAATGTCTGAAGACAGCTCCGGTGACTTCCGCGCGGCAGAGCATTCTCCTCGCTTTGCCAGGGGTTCACAGTGGGAAAAGCCTGTACATATGATGTGGTTTACACATGTTTACCACGTCCCCCTCCAGAAGTTTCAGGCCACCGGGGACCGGGGCCCCACCCAAATGTCAAGGTTCCACACCACAAACCTGTCGCGGCACTGGCCGTAACCATGTCCAGGCTTGTGCAGTCTGCGTATGTCGACTTGCAATGTTGTAAAGGGTAGTTACTTGTGTCCCTTACAACCCACTCTTTAACTTTAGTTGCCGGTAGCTCCTTAATGGAACAATGGGTACGAGAGCAGGGTATCCTTGCTAATTCATGAAAATTCGATGCATGTTTCTTGCACCGACTGTGAAACGCTTGCTCCGCGAGTTCTTCCGGACACTTCGTGCCGCAGCCTCAGCCGTTGGTGTGCAGGCCATGGTGGTTCATGGCTAGTTGTCATTGCGTAAGCCGAGCAGCGTTGACTCTAGGAAGTTCAGGCGGACCCGTGGCCGTGGTGAACCTGCGAGACAGGACCACTCTCACGAAAGTTCACGAGTTCAGCTGCTGGCAGCTTCGGTGTGCACGTGGCTCGCCAGAGTTCATGTGTATGTGCGCATTAGACCCGCTGTCGTGGAGTTGTGACTTCTGCGCTTGTCGGCCAAGGTGGGGCAGACTGGGCTGGCCGAGAAGATGTTTCTGATGGTGTAGATAAGATGCATTGCAATATTCCAAGGACTTGAATCTCCCGAATGTTTTTTTGTTCCCAGCCGGCACCGTACCACTGAATCGAAAAGTGCGCCGCCGTGCTCTGATTCTTCTTGCGTGGTTCGACTGAACAGGCTGGTTTCTTACCATAAAGTCCCAATCTGGCGACAGAAAACTCTCGAGTTTCTGGCATGCCGGTAAAGACATAGAGCATTCGTCATCGTTTTGGCCATTCTCTGAGGCTGGAGCAGATGTGTGGGGAAATCGAGGCTGGGCGCCACGCCAAGCATCTCAGCTTGCTTTTTCGAGCGAACTCTGCAAGAGGCTGACGTTTTGTTGACAGCAGCGAGCCCGTCCTGTACTAAGTGCAGGGCGCGAAATTGGCAGATTGCGTCTACCGTCAAGGTGTTGCTAAGTGTCTCTGGGTTTGGAGGCCGAAGCGGAAAGCAGAGGCATTGCCTGAGCAATCGAACAAGCGCTCAATGCTGGATCAGGTGAGTTGCAATGCAGTCCTGAGACGATTTTCCTTTTCTCGTTCCATGGGTGCAGGAGCACAGCAATATGGGGCATGGGCCTCTTCAATCTTCGGCACCAACACTTCCACCTGTTGATATCTCACAGGACTTGCTGGCGCTTTCACAGTCTCATGCAACATTCACAGATTTTCCCGAGCATCTCGTGCCTTGAGTCGCAGCTCAGTGCCACAGCCTTGACTCTGAAGGATGTGCCGATGCATCTGCCGACGGAAGAAACTCAGGCAGCTCCAAAGCTGTCGGGCAATTATCCTGTTTAGGGTCCGCAGCAGTCAGCACATGACCACTTGATCACCAAGATGCATGTAGATGCTCTCGATGCTCTCTGCAGGGGTTTTTACATTGAGATACATTGACATTTTGGAGACGAATCCCGTTGCATTTCGTGCAACTTGTTCCCACCTCATCAGACAACTGGCAGCAGGCATCTTTGAGTTTCCCACTTTAGCAGAAGTGAGATGTTGTTCAAGGTCGCGACCGTTCTGATGCTGCGTGCATATTCAAAGGACGATCCTACCCTTCGGGTTGCTTCCATGGTAACGTAAGCGCGATAGGTGGGGATACTTTACAATACGAAAACCTCCAATGTCTTGACGTGTCAGGGATACCTTTCTAGGACTCAGCGAATCGCTCCAGCCAGATGTGTTCAACACAGAACACAGGGCTGTCGTCAAGGGCATGAAAGGTACAAGACCCCTAACAGGGACACCAGTGCGGATCCTACAGAAGCATTCAGAAATTGTTGCGTGTCGGGCCCCGTGGGGATCAGAGTGCGTGCCCAACGGCTCTTTTGTTCAGACTCGTCGCACGATGCATTGAGCTGTGCATTGCATCACTCCATGCTTCTAGCGCACATCCCACGAAGTGGCTTGCTACGGGCTTTCTCCGGCAAGTCCATTTTGAGGTGCTTGGCACGGGGCCACACCCCAGGAGTGGCACTTGGATTGAGATCCCCCTTCTGGCAGTCGTTTTCTGCAGTCCATGACCTCTTCTTCTTTGCTGCTTTTTGTTTGTCGACTTTGTCGTTTTCCAACTGAAGCTATTGTGCCTTGCAGTCGAGGTTGAACATGGTCTCCACTGCACCGTGCTATCGAATCCCACGCCTATTTTTCTCCGAAAGAATGTTGCCCTTAGATGCTCCGAACCTGATGCCCCGAAGCCTAAAATTCTCTTGTTGTCTCTACGGCCATTGGCCAAAACGAAACAAAACTGGCGTATGTATCGCCGTCTATTTGGCTTTATGTGTGGCAACAGGCAACGCTCCGCAGGGTGCAGTAGCAATAGTTGCTTGATAAGAAGGGCTCCCTGCCAAACTTTACTGGTCTCTGCCGCTCTCAACATCAATCTTGGCCATGTGCCACAGTTGTTTCGGTAAATGGTCTTTCTTTGTTGCTGTTCGACTTACTGTGTCAGCGTCATGTCTCAGGCACGGGCCCCGGACCCAACCAGGTCCACAACCATGGACGTCAATACCCGATCCGAACAGGTGCGACATTGCGCACCGTGTCTTTGCAAGTCCCAAAGTCTTGCGAACTCTGCAAGCGATTCGCAGGTGGACGTGCCTGAGACTGCGAGCGACCTGCTGGATCAGGGCCCATGCGAAGTCGAGCGAGATGCGGAGGGCGGTCTGTGGTTCTTCCTGATCGATGCCGTTGAGGACGACCGAGCCAGCCCACCCCGAGTCTATCTTTTCGGCAAGGTGAAGGTCCGCTCGGGCTCAGAGGCATATCGCAGCTGCTGCCTGGTGGTTGAGAAGCTGGAGCGTTGCTTTCATTTGCTGCTCAAAGTCGAAGATCCTTCGGACTACGAGTCAGCGAAGATAGCTGCTAATGCAGCTGCCGTTGAGCTTGAAACTCTGAGAAAGGAGAAGTTTCAAAATCTGAAGGTGATCCGCAGCAAACTAAAATATCGGAACTATGCCTTTGAGAAGCCTCTTGGGCAGGCTTTGGGAAACCTACCTTTTCTGAAAGTTGTTTGCGAGGCGGCAGGCTCTGTGCCGCCAGTTGGCCTGGCAGGTGATAACTTCACTCACAGCTTTGGCATCCAGGCCAGTCTCCTTGAACGGCTTCTGCTGACCAGACGTCTGATGGGTCCGTCGTGGTACCGACTTCATCCGGATTCATTCAAGGAGGAGCCTGCAAGGCTTTCGCACTGTGCCACAGAGTTTCGCATCACTCCGGCTTCAATACAGGTGCCCAAGACGGAGACAGAGAAAGCACGATGGAGCTCACACTTGCCAGCATCAAGCCCTCCCTTGCGAGTCCTGAGCGTGAGCCTGCAGACGTTCCAGCAAACGGCCCAACTGTCGCATGAAGTCCTTGCAATCGGTTGCAGCTTGCATCCAACCGTAAGTGCTGATGCCTCTGCAAGCGAGTCCGACCTTCAGAATTCGCGACGAACCTGGGCAGCGATTCGGCGTTTGGATGCCAATCCATTTCCGCGCGATGCCGACAAGGTCCGATGTTGGTCCGATGTTGAAAGTTAATAGCATTCGCCACTCTCGAGCAGCAGGGACCGAATCGCAGTATATGGGGCTAACTGAACTGGCCTCGTTCTAATGAAGAATCTCCCGCAGGCACTCGCCGCTGGTGGCTTCCATACCTATAACAATGAGCTTGCACTGCTCAATGCCTTCTTGCTGAAGGCTCGTTGCATCACGAAGGAAGAAGCCGATCCATGCAGCGTGGCAACTTGCAAGCAATCTCTAAGAGGCTTAACTTGAAGTGGGTGCTCACGGTTGATTGCGAGTATGTCCCGGTTTCAACGTCAAGAGCCTGACATTTGCAAGGGCATGGATACATTGAACCGTGGCGGCAGGTACAGGAGTTTGACCCGGACGTGATTGCAGGCCTCATGCTGACTAGGTGCCTCCAACAGCCAAACGAATGAATCTCGATGCAGGCCACAACGTCTTCTCCGTCGATTTGGATGTCTTGAGCTCGCGGCTACATCAGTTCGGGCACTCAGTGTGGACACTCTTGTTACGGAGATGCTCGTCCCGATCATCTTGACAAGCCGCGCTTTGGAACAAAGGCTCAAAGTGCAGAATTGGCACAGGCTTGGGCGCTTGCGTCGTCCGAAGGACGTCTCCTTGCAAGCTCAGGCTGTCCACGAAATTCCACGGGCACTAATCGGCTCTTCCTTTAAGGACCGCGTGCCGCGAAATGAGGGTCGGCAAGCTCAAGGATTTTGGGTAGCGTTCCCGGCTTGAACTGTGCAGCTGCGGCAATTGCAGATGTGCGAGATGTAGAGCCGGGTGCTTCAGGCAGGCACGAGTTTGGCGGCTGGCAGATTGGACATTCTCTCAGCTAACTTTCCAAGCTGCCGTGAGAATTGGAGTCTTCAGCCTCTCCTCACAAACCTGCAGATATACTCGGCAGAGTCCAAGCGATTTGTCGTGCAAGGTGTGCGACACCGCTTTGCAAGCGAAGGATTTGCTTCCGAAGCTCGGATGCCTCAGACTCGGCGTCTTACTTCATCGTGTGAAGGTGAGGCTAGTCGTCGATGGGCATGCAGTCACACCGCAGTACGAGCCATTCCTAGATGCATACCTTACAGGCCCGGCAGGTTCACCTGCTTCGCATGCTCTGTTTGCAGGTACCGTCGCAACAGTTCAATGTTCTTGTCATTTGATCTTGCTTCCACTCTTTAAGCTTGTGATAAAGCTGCTATGTTGTTAAGGGTGTTGGAAGTTCGAGACGTCGGATGGCGGTTGAGGCTATGACCTTGTCAACCTCGCGAAAGAGCAGTTGGGATCTGCAGATGTGAAGATTGTACGCCGCTCGTAGAGATTTGCAAATGCATCAGGGTCTGTTTAAAGTCGACGCTCAGGTCGAGCCCGAAGCTATTGCGGATTATTACGATTCTGCGAGGTTCCCGTCTGAGTTTCGATGCGGACCTAGGATGTCTAGAAAGTGTTTCTTCGATCAGAACAGTCATGCTGAGACCAGGTTGCTCATTCCGAGACATGCAGATTCTTGAGCAGGAGTCTACTGAACCTGCTCCAGCTCAAGACAGCCGATGCCTACTGCATAGCTCGGATCGCACATTCCTTGCAGATCCTGTGCGGACCCCGCATATGCTGCATGCTTCTTGTGCTCTGTCATGCTCTGTCTGACGGATTTGTTATGCCTTGCTGGACAGTACCATGTGGGAGGAACTTGGCTCAGCTACGGGGGGGGGCAGGCTGTAGAAGAAATGCCATGTCAGGGATGATCGTCCGCGGTGCAAATGGCTCACCGAACGAACTTGCCTCAGTCACCATTCGGAGTTGTGGCAGGCAACTGTGCAAACAGCTGATGCAGGCAGCATCGGAGGAGTGGGAGAAGGAGCATATAATGTACAGAAGTACCAGTAGGAGCAGCAGCAGCAGCAGTAGTGGCAGTGGCAGTGGCAGTGGCAGTGGCAGTGGCAGTGGCAGTAGCAGTGGCAGTAGCAGTGGCAGTCGCAGTAGCAGTAGCAGTAGCAGT